AAAGGTGACGTCCTGAGAGGCGAAGACCCGGCGCGAGGTGGGGTGGTAAAACTGCCAGCCCGGCGCGTCAGGGACAAAGCCAAGGAAGACACAGGGAAGCGTGCGGGAGGAGAGCTTGTCCGCGGACGTATCGCGGACAAGGGCACGAGCACCCCACACCCGGAAGCGCGACGCATCGCCAACCTCCCCCGTCCAACGCAGTGTGGGCGAGGTCTCCGGCAAGGAGACACGGGGCCAGAGGTTGAGCTGATGCGCGGCGTACCGGACAGCAAACGGCCACAGAAAATGGGGAGCCGCCGCGTGGACCAAGGAGGTACGAGCGACCTCCATGACCAGGCCAATGCGGCGCTCAGCAACCCCATTCTGCTGTGGGGAGTCCGGAAGCGTGAAGGTCTGCTCGATGCCCTCCGCCTGACAGAAGGTCCTCAAGAGGTCGGAGGAAAACTCACCACCTCTGTCAGAGTGCAGACGCAGGATAGGAAGATCCGTCCGGAAACGGCGGCGGAGCTGGAGACGAACTGTGCGGATCCAAGGGATCAAAACAGCAGGGACCTCACCCTTGGTGCGCAAGGGGAAGACCGTGGTGTAACGCGAGTAGTCGTCGACAACCAGCAAAAAGTACCGCTCACCGCCCTGGCCACGAACGCGGGCTGGGCCCCACACGTCCAGGTGGAGGGTCTGCAGAGGAGCCCCTGTCGGGGGGAACGAGGAGGAGTGAGGAGCGGCGCGCTGCCGCCCCTCGACGCAAGGAAGGCAAGGCGGCGCAGGCGAGGCAGGGAGGGGAGGGAGGGACCTGGGAAGACCAGACACAAGGCGGCGACGGTGCATGCCACGGAGGCGTGGCAAGGAGGGGTGACCCAGGCGGTGGTGCCAGAGAAGAGTCTGGTGCGACAGGGAACGACACTCACAGGTGTGGGCCACCAGACCTGACGCGGACACCTGACCGACAGCAGCGACCTGAGGAGACGCAGTGGTCAGTGTGTAGAGACTCGACCCCGGCCGACGAGTAAACGTAGCCAGGTGACGGCCGGTCCTGGAGCACGTGCAGATCGCCACACGCTGTCCTCCAGGGGTAAAGGTGTCAACCCACTGATCCTGGATGACAGCGTTGCTCACCAGGTTCGTCGAGAACGAGGGGAGGTGGAAACCCGTCAACGAGCCAGACGGAACCGCCGGACAAGGGAGCACAGTGGTGGACTGGGCAAGGACTGGGCCCCCAGAGGGGTCAGCCAAGGAGACTGGGACCGGTGCAGGAAGCGGTGTGAGCTCAGTACTATCTCGAAAGAAGCAGCGGGAAGCACCTGAGTCAAGGGTGAAGGTGTGACAGGTCTCAGCCGGTGCAGTACCTGAGAGAGCAGTCTCTGTGGGTGCTGTACCTGAGAGAGCAGACTCGCAAGCAGCAGGGACAGTGCTGGAGGGAGCAGGTACAGGGGGCACCATACCAGAGAGAGCAGACTCACTAGTACCTAGGGCAGCGGGCCCTATACCTGGGTCAGGCGGCACACACAAGTAACAGTCTCCCTCGGCACTAACAGTCAATGCATACATGGCAGCAATAATAGCATCATAGTCAAGAGCAAAGATATCAACACCAGCCCTCATCAGCTCAGCCCAGCGAGGGCGCTCAACATCCTCGCCCATCTCCTCACGCCAAGCGTCGTCAAGGCGGAAGAAGCAGCGGTACTGAGTGTGGAACTTTCCACACGTCTGCCCCTTGCGATCACCTGTGCGAATGACATAGGAACAGCGGCCACTGCCCCCCGACGTCCCACGCTGAGCAAGCCACTCACGAAGCTGCTGGGTCGACTGGGGACGCTGCTGCTGCTGGGAGCTCTGGCCCGAGCCGGTGCCTCCACTCCGACCTCCACCGCCGCCACTACCTCCGCTCCGACCGCCACCACCGCCACCGCCACCGCCACTACCGCCACCGCCGCCACTGCCGCCGCTGCCACCACCGCCACTGCTCCCGCCGCCGCCCCCGCCTCCGCCGCCGGCCCCACTCCCACCGGCACTCCCGCCACCGCTCCCTCCAGCACCGCCTCCCCCCCCACCTCCCCCACCCCCTCCCCCCCCAGCGCCACCCCCGCCACCCTTGCCCCCCTTGCCCTTGCCGGTGCGGCGCCTCCCACCAGGAGCAGAAGCAGCGCCAGCAGACTCAGCACCAAGGAAGTCAACAGCAGCAGCAGTAGCATAGGAGGGAGCGAGGGGAGAGGGAGAACACCCCTCAAAGATGGGGGTGCGAGGAGCGCCGCGAGCAGCACCTACAGCTACAATGCTCTTCTCGGCTGCTAGCAGCTTCTCCTCTAGGAGGGCGACAGTGAGCTCAGTGGGACAGCGAGCAAGGAAATAGTCGCGCACTGAGCTGAGGGTGTCAGGGAGACGGGTGACTATGAAGTGGAGTGCCCAGTACAGGGGAGGGGGGTTCTTAGCGCAGAACTCGGTGGGAAGGGCGGCACGCAGGCGAGCATCACTAGTGCGAAGGTGGGTGATAAGATCGGCGACTGTAGCAAAGGTGGACAGGTCAGGGAACAGGTAAGGCAGCATGAGACGGCTAAGCTCGGCTGTGGCAGGTGAGGAGTAGCGAGCAACGACAGCGTCGTATAGGGCTTTAGCGGTTTTGCAGTCGCCAAAGTGCTCTAGCTCAGCTAACGGCAGGTGACTGCGAATAGCCAGGCGAGCTGCAGCGTCACGAGTCTGCCACTGTGAACGTACACTAAGCTCGGCTGTGGCAGCAGGAGCAGCGGCAGCACCAGACGCGTAGTCATAGAGGGAGATGTGGTCCGTGCTATTGCTCATAAGATACAACTGCAGGTCGTCGAGCCAGGAAGTGAACTGCACGGGACGGCCCTCAGCATCGAAGGAAAGAACGCGAATAGAGGCCATAGCTCAGGCGTGAGGGCACAGCAGAGCAGCGGCAGCAGCAGAGGGGACGCGCTAGAGCGAAGCTAGCAGCCACAGCAGGAGCAAGCGGCGGTGCACAGGCAGGGAGCAGCAGGCGAGGCGGGCGGCGCTGCAGGCGGGAAGTGCGGCGGGCGGGCTGCGAAGCGGGCAGCGGGGCGGGCGGGCGACGCGGCGAGCGGGCAGCGCGGCGGGCGGCTGCGAAGCGGGCAGCGGGCGGGCGGGCGACGCTGCAAGCGGGCAGCGGGCGGGCGGGCGACGCTGCAAGCGGGCAGCGAGGCGGGAGGGCGACGCTGCGAGCGGGCAGCGGGCGGGCGGGCGACGCTGCGAGCGGGCAGCGAGCGAGCGGGCGACGCTGCGAAGCGGGCAGCGGGCGGGCGGGCGACGCTGCGAGCGGGCAGCAAGCGGGCGGGCGACGCTGCGAAGCGGGCAGCGGGCGGGCGGGCGACGCTGCGAGCGGGCAGCGAAGCGGGCGGGCCGCGAAGCGGGCAGCGAGCGGGCGGGCGGGCTGCGAAGCGGGCAGCGGGGCGAGCGGGCTGCGAAGCGGGCAGCGGGGCGAGCGGGCGACGCTGCGAGCAGGCAGCGCGGCGGGCGGGCGGCGAGCGGGCAGCGTGGCGGGCGGGCGACGCTGCGAGCAGGCGGCTCGGCGGGCGGGCGACGCTGCGAGGGGCGCGCGAGGGCGCTAACGAGGGGCGCTCGAGGGCGCTAGCGAGGGCGCGCGAGGGCGCTAACGAGGGGCGCGCGAGGGCGCTAACGAGGGCGCGCGAGGGCGCTAACGAGGGCGCGCGAGGGCGCTAACGAGGACGCACGAGGGCGCTACGAGGCTAGGGCACGGGGTAGCGTGGTAACCGCATGCGAGCGGTGGTGGGCCCTTAAAAGAAACGGTCGATAGGTCCTAGGGACCTCCTGCTCTGAATACCATATCAACAGGACTAGGCAAGAATGTGTGATTGAATGGAAGAATTGGGTACAAGTAGCAAACCCTAGTTGGGGTTGTACCCCATACTGGCTACCCCACTACAGCCTACCAACATAACACAGTTTAACAAAAACTTAGGGTTAGCTATATGTACCCCAACCAACATCAATGCACCATCCATTCTTCATTATGACATTTTTTACGACTTTTGACATGGCTATCGGTTTCTGCCCGTGGCGACTATTCCAACTGAATTTCGCGACCAATCATTACGCCGCCCAGGGAGCTTTCGGATAAGTCTGGCAGAATGATTACAAGTAGGTTCATTCCTTCGATCACGGAATCACTGTACCTTTTTATCCGGGCGCTCGGCTTTCCCGCCACTCACGTTCGACGCGTGGCCCGTGAACAACACGTGAAACACTTCAAACCTTCCAAACCGCTCAATCCCGCGCGCGGAGCGAAATTGATGCCATAACTTTCACTCCCGCCACTGTCGTTGCACCAGAGAGGTCTCACTAACGCCCCGTGAAGCACTGCTGGATGTCCAAGTTGCTGCCACTGTCGAGCGCGCTCAGTTTCTCGCCTAGGAAATTGCATCCGCCCCACCTTTCCCCCCCCCGAATCAACTGCTTTTCAGTCATCAACGTACAGTTGTGGCCATACTGTACCATCGTCAAGAGCAGCTTAGGGGGTGGGTTTCTAAGTTGTATGCGAGTACCCTCCATTGGCATCAGATGTGACGATATACTTTCAACACCCAGCAGCAACCATGTCGGAACCACCTGACCGCGCCGAGCGTATAGCGAATAGTATCTTAGAGGCAAAGCGAAACGTCCCCCCCGTTCCGGAAGCACAACCAAGAGCCCCTAGAGATAATGCCCCACTGACACAAGGTGCAATATACTCCTCGAGGGGTGCGGCTCTAAAGGCGGTGCAAGCCTTCGCGTTGCGGCATCGTTTTGGATTCGGGACTGTCGAGGTGGCGGATGCCCACGTGATCCTCCAATGCAAAACCGCCATGCATGGAGTAAAGCCCATCTGCCCTTGGGAATGCAGTTACAGTAAGATTGTACGTGGCGGATTCTGGGAAGTGACGTCGCTTTTCCCCCCTGAAGCTCACATCTGCCGCAAATTCATGCGAGAGCAAGGAGCAAACGCCATCGCCAACAGCATCAAGGTCATGAAGCGTCAATGGGGCAACCTTGTTCGTGGCGCACCTTTAATTTCGGCGAAGACCTTGCAGCAGGTTCTCTCGGCTCACAGCAAGTTTGTCATCAGTTACAAGCAGGCGTGGCGGCTGCGTAAGGCAATCCAGAAGGAAATGTACGGGGATTGGCAGGAGTCGTTCAGGTTGCTACCGGAGTTGGCTCGCAGGTTCGAGAAGAACGATCCGTGTGGAAAGTTCAAGATTCAGACGGTCGACGGATGCTTCCACCGGATGTACATTCAGCCGTCCGCATCCCGCGGTGCGCTTGGTTTTTGCCGCCCCGTTGTTGCACTAGACGGGACCTTCCTAATCAGCGCTCAACGCGCAACCCTGCTCATTGCCGTGGTCCTCGACGGTAACCAGAAGATTCTGATGCTGGCGTGGGCTCTGGTCGAAGGAGAGAACAAAGATTCGTGGTCCTGGTTCCTGCAACACTTTCTGGAGAGCTTCCCGGAGCGGCCGCACCGTGACGATGCATCTATTATCAGCGATCGCGACAAGGGCCTGATTCCTGCTGCACGAGATGTACTTCCGGCTGGCATTCCGCATTACTTTTGTGCTTGGCATCTCCATCAAAATGTTGTGAAATTTGGAGAGGCTGCTGCTCTTTTCTATTGGCGTCTTGTGAAGTGCAGGGACTTGGACAAATGGGACGCATTGGTTGCAGCAGGCCGCCGTGACTTCAAGGAAATGATCAACTATCTACTCGGGGTCGAGAAGCCGAACTCGGGTCCAGCTCCGGCAGATGCTGCAGAGCAGCAACGTCCCGCTCCCACAACAGCGGCTGAAGCACGTCAACAAGCTGCAGAGAACCGCCGCCAGGGTCGTGCAGCAGCGCGTGCCGCCAGGGGTTTGGGGACCACATCACGTGCGCATGGTCGTGGGGCGGGTGTCGCGAGCGGGCCGGCTGCCCCATCTCCTGAACCACAGCCTGCACCAACCGCAAGCACATCTGCCCCGACGGCAGCGCCGGCTGAGCCCCCGGCCACAACCGAGCCGCCCAGTCGTCCCTCAGGCTCGACGCCTGCAGCCTCACGACCCTTCGACTATGCTCGCATCGCGCGACTCGTAAGGACAGGTTACATCCCCAGCAGCATCCGGACGGACCCGCCACGTGCAACAGGATCAAGCGGGCACTCGGGCCCGGGGGGAGAGGAGCAGGCTGGGGGAAATACCTGCCAGGCACTGGTCGTTGTCACTCTGGACCACCCGTGGCCGGATGTCGGTAGTGGCCCCCCCCGTGTGAGGGTTGAAGCCGACATTGAGGAGGACGAAGAGGAGGAGGCTGATGCAAAGGAGGCAGAGGCAGATGATGCGGCTGACCCAGCGGCAACAGAGAGGAACCAGGCGGGGGCAGACGAGGACGCCGAAGATAACACGCCTGAGGCCGGTGTCTCGGAAGGGGACCATACTGCACGCGTGAGGACAGGGTTTAGGCAGAACAAGCGTGGTACGAGGAAGAAGCTGGGCATCAACCTCGTCCACTGGACACGCATTAAGGCCCCAACCCGTCGCTTTGGGATCTTTACGAGCAACGCAGTAGAGCAGGTCAACAGCTCAATCGTGCCCATTCGTCGCTTGCCGGTCACCCCTCTGCTCGGGGGTCTCTGGGACTGGTATCGGGATAAGTATTGTGAACGCAAAATGGCTGCGCGGGAGAGAACTGCTATACTCACGGAAGCAGCAGAGGAGCGGATGGTGCAGAAGGAGACCCGGGCGGAGGGGTACGAGCTACTGGGCGGGGATCTAGAGGAAGGAACCATCCAGACCAGGGACACCGACGATCCCAAGGAATGGAGGTCCTTCAACGTCAACATCAACAGTGAAGTGAAGACCTGCGACTGCTCAAACTGGGACCAGTACCAGTTTCCTTGCTCCCATGTCGTTGCCTTTGCTCTGAAGCGAAAGCTAGACCCGCACACCCTCGTTTCCGACTTCTACACCACGAAGAACTGGGCGGAGACGTATTCTTCAACGGTGCGGGGTTCCTGCGTGAACCGCATCGTCCTAGGGAGGAAGCTGGCCGCACCAGGCGAGTGCGATGCTCCACCCTTTCGGCGCACGGCAGCCGGCCGCCGGCCGAGCTACGCACGCGTCGAGAAGGCTGTGCATCCGTACAAGTGCAGCGTTTGCCATCTCCACGGTCACACTAAGAACCGCTGCATGGGCAAGTATGGTGGCAGCGCATACCCGGAGAGGAGGAGGTACCGTAAGCGCCCTAAGGGGCGAAAGTCCTATCGCGAGTCAGCACCTTTTGCGGGCACCATTTGAGATTTGTGTGGAGTCAACAAGTTAGGGTAGTTTCGACATGGGTTAGAGTAGATGATGTAGTGGTGGGTGTAGGAACACGTTGTCCTCGTCCGGAGTCTTAGTATTAGTTTAGATATGCCACACCAGCACAACATGTAATAGCCTTCTTAATAATATTAGTAATAGCCAGAAACATGGAGGAACACCATCAGTCGTCCCGGAAGCGACTGTGAAATCCAAGCGATTGTTTGGCAACAATCTACTAGCTTATGTGAATCCACATATCTCCGAAGTCCCTACTATTCGCATGCACAGATGGTAGTCAACGACCCGTGGGCAAACATTGAAAACATTGTCTGAATTGTCACACCGAGGCCGTACCAAAACTGTCACAAAACGGTGAGCAAACAGTGAGGACGTTGTCAGCCATTTCGTTCTTGCCTTATCACATGGATACTCCCAATGAGAGATTGCTGTGGGGGTTGTCACGCGCGATCGAAATCTTTGTGAATGCTCTCTCTAGCACACGTAATCTCACGGGCCACATCTTGCCCCGAATAGTACAGCAGTTTATTAGGCCCTCGCGATTCCCTAGTCAACCCTCCGCAATAAGTTTGCGGAGTCCTTTGATTCGTGCCACGCACCCCACCATGGGTGCTGGCGATGTGTAGGGTTGTTGTGTCACAGTGAAGTGCTCGTGGGAAACCGTGTGCAGGTCTCTAGATTGTGTCTGTGAACCGCAGGTGTGAAATGCTCGTGAAGTGCTAGTGAATCTCCCGCCATGGCATTCTATTGGCTAACACATCCAATAGTCAACCAACCTTGACCTCGTCGGTAGCTCGCGAAAAACCCGTGATGCCTCAACTGATAAATAACACACACGCGCTTGCGACTAACCGCCGTTGGAAATTTAGTACACCCTCAATGAAACGATACCAACTGATACAATTTAGAGTCCAGAGAATCGCGTGTGGATACTAACTGATACAATACTCCACAAATAAACGTATGAACAAACTAACACCGGTACAACCCTAACTCCATGTGCACCAGTGCTTTATTAATATGTAATCATGTGTCCAAGAACAATAGTGCTACGCTCCGTGCTGCCTGTAACCAACACAGGCTATGACACATTACTTTAACCTAACACCAGCAAAAACCAACGGCGCTACATATGAGTGTGATGTGCAAAGCCAAGCAATCCCTCGGCATGCCACGCTCTAACACACCACAAGGCAAAGGCAGTTCGGCCGGCGGTCTAGGAAAGTCAGCACAGCCCAAAAACCAGACAGAGCACCTCCCGTCTAAAGGCCGTCGGCTACACCTTTGTCTGTCTCCTTCGCTTGGAGCTGCGACGACACGGCGGCTGAGCCGAGGTTTGCGGATCTACCGACACCGTATCAACCGCCCTCCCTTTCTCCATCAAAGTCTTGCATTCCGCCCAGGCCTCCCTCCAGTTCTCCCACCGGTGCCAGAACTTGTTCCGGATCAGGGCAAGGCATACGTCTTTAGGACAGTCCTTCAACCTGTCCTTATCTTCAACAGACAGACCTATCACTCTCCCACGAGGTCCCCTGTGCGGCCCAAACAGCACATGTGATCCAGCGGCCAGTGATCTCGTGGCTTCCTCCTCATCTCCGAACTGGCTGCCAATAACGGTGTGCCCGTCTTTCTTCCGCTCGCAGACCAGTCTAGCAACCCAACGCCCATTCCAGGGCCGTAGGGTAATACCCACGAATCTCCCCTTGATTTCCTTGGCCTTATTTCTCGAAGACTGCCTCGCCTGCTCCTGCGGTGACGGAGAGCCGCCTCCGATGACCTCGGGCCGGTCTTCCACGACCATGGGCGTATCAGGCGCGCGTTCAGTACCGCTCGTCGGCTGAAGCGCTGACACGGCCGTGGCCATGGTGTCGCATATGTCATGCGTCTTCACGATCCACTGCTTCATGGTTTCCATGCCGCCTTCTACGTCGGCGAGACGACTAGCCTGGGTCCGTAATTCAGAGGCCAGGTCCCTCATCGCCGAAATGCTGTCCACGATGGGCTGCACCCTGTGGTGCGACTCATTTCCCGGCGCCGGTCGGTCAAATGCCGGTAGTGTCACCGTTTTGTTGTGCAGCTTCGCGGCTAGCGTTTGCTCCCCAGCATCACACATCAAGGCTCTGATGGCGCGCCGGTAGGTAACAATGCGGTACGAGGGTGATGGGATGCCCTGCACAAGGTTCCTGAATGACCGGGCCGCAAGCTCGGACACGCAGACGCACACGAGTACGCCAGAGTCAACGTTGTAGTCCTGTTGCGGTACTTGGCTGGCCTGGACAGGTTAACAATACCATAAGATTGTTAATTAACGGATGGTTGGGCAAGCTGAGTCATCCATCGAGTATCGCATAGATAAACATATGCAATATGCCGGTCACTTACACGCAGTGCCCGGCAGCGTGGGCGACGGAGACGATTGGTCACATCCGACGCAGGGAGCCCCGGCCTCGCCTGCGTCAGCGCCGCACCCAAAAGCATGCAGTCACGTGCTATGTCACACAATGACACATGGTCTTTGGAGTCCCAGCAAGTGTGCAAATGGCATAAAACACGCTATGGCGGGGTCATCTGGTCTCACCAGTTTACGGTTCGGAAGACGGTGTGTGACCCGGCGACGTGATACCCAGTAGAATCGAAGAGCACAACCTGTGGCCCCTCAGCGCCCAGCACTTCAAGCTCCTCATCAGTCTTCAGCAGCAACCCCGGATCCTTCAGAACGATCAGGCTTGCGTGTTTGGGCCCAGGGTTCCTCAGACACCTGGTCAAGCCATTGAAACATTGTGAGCCAACATTTATACCGTATTGTTCCGGCACCGCCTACTTACTGAGTTACTGCCACTATGCATACGTAGTCGAACTCGAACAGGGTATCGCTCTTGATGCCGCAGCAAAGATGCTCGTTAACAGCCGCCCGGTACGCAGAGGATGGCAGTGCCACCCACGAGCTCCCCGATGGTAGTTGCGGGTGCAAGATACTCAGAACGCTGCGCAAAACATGTTATGTACATAAGCACCGAATGTTTATGGTTAAAAACGACGTTTGTAAGCTGGCCCATAACTCACACGTTGTGGAAGTCGATCGTTGTTGCCGGAATCTCACACCCGTCCCGAATCCCAAGAGCATCAACCATCTGCACGTTCGCGCTCTGCCCAAGGTGATTCGTGATCGCCGGTGTTGGAAAGTATTCGCTAGTCAATGTGGGCGGAAGTAGACCGCCACCCTCAGACGGCCCAGGCACTGATTTCGCGAAAAGGGACACTATGTCGTCGGGTTCCGGTGGGCTCTCCTCGACGTCAACCGTCACGGGAACCTCGAACTTAATAACACGCGATGACGATTTCTTGGACGATTCTGCATCACTCCTCGTCCGACCCAACCGCGGGCTTTTCCGCGACGTCATACTAAGGACTACTAGGGAGCTTGACCCGATGTCACCTGGCAATGTGAAGTTATGTACTCGTCGCTATGCCTTGCAGTCTAACAAGGAGGGGTGTTGACGCGATAGGTGCAAGCGTCCTTGTGCCAGTGATGTGACAAATGACGGGACGTCCACCTGTTGTTTGTGATACGTAAGGACTGTCACTGTCCCCTATTGAGCGGTGGGTCACGCCGATATCCAATGAGAACCGAGGTCCAGTTGTTATCTCTTTCACGCGGGATTGACAATGAATTACACGCGGGATCGACAGGGGTAAACTGAAACACGAGTTCAGTGAATCTGTACCCGTCACTGCACGCGTCGCTATTCTTGGCAGGCGTCCGTCACGACATATGACTGTAGTTTGCTCTCGTGAAACAAGCTAAATCCTACACAAGCTTTGACACGATGTATGGTAAGGACGTTATTCCTGATAGTGCAATGGAATGAAACATGACTTGTGTATGGCCCGACAGTCTAAGTCCCCAGAAGTATTAGCGGGATCGAGTAAGTGTTGGATAAACGTGGCGATTTATGTTGGCGAATGAGGGTGTTGGCGACCGAGGCGGTTAAAGTACTAGGTTGTCCAAGTAGTGTTGTAATATAATTGGTCGTTACGGGTGGATACAATTTATGTACATATCACACGTACGAGCATTTTATGGAAAGTGGTGTGAGGGACTAGGCATCATAGAGGCAATAAAGGTTGAGTGCCACGTGGCACTAGGCAGTCTCAGCCAGGGAAATTTTTATCAGGGTAAATCACCCTGATACCCTGATTATCAGGGTGGTTTTTGGGGGTCAAACTGATGGCCTAGGGTGTTTTAAATTGTCGTCGCCGAACTTTTCTCCGCGCAAGATCCAGGCCGAAAATGCTCTAGTAGATGTAATTGAACATGGGCCACTCGAATATGCATTAACATTCAGGTTCTTGAATGATTTTCCATACACCTATAGGCATTCATTGTCAAAATATTATGCTCTAGCCTGTAGTGGGGTGCTCTATAGCAAGTACAACCCTTCTAGGGTTTGCTATTTGTATCCCCATTCTTACTAGTGCAACCCCTCCTTTGTTCATTTCTTGCTTGCCTAGCTAGGTCAACCCTAGCTATGGCTTCTCACTGTCCTTACTATCTTGACATGGTAACAGAGCGGTTACGCTCCTGTCCTGTGGGCCCACCACTTCACTGCTTCCGCTGCTACTGCTACTCCCTGTCCGCCGCGCGCCTCGTGGTACGCGGCGTTGAAATTAGGGTTTTCAGCCCGCCGTGCGCCCCGAGGCGCGCGGCGGGTTTCTGCCCCGTCACACCGCGCGTTGCTCCCGGGAGGCGCTGCGACGGGCGACGGGGACCCGCGCGTCGCCCCCCGTCGCCCGTCGTGGCCTGCGCGCGGCCCGTACAGCCGGCGCGCGGCCCGTACGGGCTGCGCCAGGCCTGCGCGCGGCCCGTACGGGCTGCGCCAGGCCCGCGCGCGGCCCGTACGGGCTGCGCCAGGCCCGCGCGCGGCCCGTACGGGCTGCGCCAGGCCCGCGCGCGGCTCGGGCCGCCTGCGCGCGGT